CATAAAGAGATTGTAAAACTAGTCAAGTTTTAAATTTTAAACTAATTAAAGCGTCAAATTGGTAGTTGCAGAGCTGCCAATGGAGGAGAGAAATCACTCAAAATTCATTAAAAATATCTTAATTTGTGTTCCGAAGATAAATGAAAGTCTTACAGGTTTGAATCGACATGAGGGAAAGTAAATGATGACAATTTTAATTCAATTCTTGGGTGAACTAGCTCTTTAAACAATTGTAATGTTATGCTCTAATGTGAATACAGTCATGAATAACACAGGTGCTTCACTTCATGTCATGTCTAAAGTGTGAATATATATTTTGATGTAATGTGTAATATACATAGTCATGTCTGATGAAGGGCTTGTGGCCTGAAACGTTACATGTACACACGTGGTGAGCAACCATTACATTTTCTTCAGAGCATCTTGTGGTGTGCGGACTTATTGTTTACTTTTAATATACATAGTTATTCATAATTTTTGCTTAAATTAAATATGGTAATGAATTCCAGACTTTTGTACCTAAAAAAAAAAAATAATAAAAAAAATCAAGAGAGCTGCAGTTGTATTAGAATAACTGATCTTTTCCAGAGCTCAGAAGTACCCTGTTAAATAAGTAATGATCACTCTTAAAAGATTAAAACGGATCTATAAATAAAAGTACAATAATGTCAAGTGACAGCTGGTGTTTCATTTAGTGGATCGTCTCATCCGATGTCTTTCTATGAGCTTTGCATGAGAGGACACTTTACGCAAGAGATTGTGACATCATGAGTTACCAGCATGGGATGAATGATGCTTGTGGTGACGATGTGAATCATTAATAGCATAGCTGCTTTATTTTTCCTGGTCTTAATCTCTGGTTGTGTGTCTTGCGTACACAAAAGTGCGTTATGTAAATGTGGGTTTGATGGCCACATTCATCCTCGAACTCAAAATATTGAACCCACAATCCTTGCCTTGTTTTTCTACCATCATTGCCATAACGGCCTCCTGCCAGACGAGACAGACTAATATATTTTTCTTGTGAGAGAGTGTTTGTGTGTTTCACGCTTAGGAATGTTGACGAGGCCGTAGCGGGTCTCCTGGTATCCCAGCTTGGACCCTGTGAAACGAGGCCCTGCAGATGTGTGGTTAGACCCTCACAGAGTTTGATCACGAGGGTCTGTTGCAGCTGTGAAGTTGTTGGTCTCCAGTGAGTTCTGATATATGTACACACATGTCCAGAGGGGGAGAGGGATCTTTAGCTGGTGTGTTGTCTTTCAGGAGCTGTTAGGATTTTATACTGGTGTGTAATGATGCTGAACACAAATGACATGCTCTGAAATCCCCTGAGTGGCGCTGTTAATGAAGCGTTCAGACGCTGAGATTGCTGGAAAATAGGCATGAAAAGGACCAAAGACTCTGTGTTTTTGTGAAGCTTGGTTAATCAGTTTATGGCGGTTGATAAAGTATGAATAATTATATTGTTATTATTTAAAAATGTAATTTTGTTTTTCAATCACACCTCTTTTTCATTTTAACAGTATATCAACCAATTACTCATTAAGTCAGATAGTTTTGTCCTAAGTTCAGTTTTGAATAGTTCATTTTACTAATTACTAAAGTATTTTTTTAAGGATTGAAAATACTTGGCACAGTTGAATTAAATGAGAAAACTGAATTTAACTTTATAGGAAAACAGTTAAATATATAATTAATCATGCCTTGTTGTGAGCCATATATACATTGCCTAATGAATTGTACAACTGTTGGAGCAATAGAGCCGTTCAGTTGTGATTTATGACATTAATTTCTAGGCCAACCCGGACGACTAATTTGGCATGGGTTCCTATGGGAATGCCCTAGCGGTATTCGAATTACGTAAAATGAGGTTTGAGGTTAATAGACCTTTCACATTTTGCTCTACAACATAAACAGCATAGTCAAAGCCACTGTATTATGAAATGGCATTGTAAGAACTATAATGTTACAATATATAAAAAATAATTTGTTTCACCATTTGAAAGTATTAAAATCCATTTGATGTATAATAGATTTATAGATTAGTATTTTTTTTTTTTTTTTACGAAATGTAATGAGCGAGTACATCATGAATCCATATTCCAAACTGTGTTTTGTCTCATCCTGAATCATAATGGTACCCTTACAATGTGTTATTTTTGGACTAATTTAGACTGAGCTGGACCACAACCACTGCAAAGTATAAACCAATATACTTGCATGACTCGTCATATTCATATGCTCTGGCTACAGTGTTCTTCTGCAAGATGCTGGGTTGTTTTAATACCATTTTGGGTAAAATATGGACAAACCCAAACTTTGGGCTAAAAATGTCATTTAAAATGTTAACCCAATTACTGGGTTTGTCAATATTTGAAATAACCCAGCATTTTAGAGCGTAGTTTTGTTTATTAACTGCTAGAGTGCCAAAAGTTACATATTGTACCTTTTAATTTAAGATCATTATGTCCCGATGTTTAAAATTGCCTTTTTTGATTTGTGATCAAAATCATTTACACAGGAAGACTACACTAGGGTGTCTTGCATTACTTTATACTAACACATAGGCTACAATAATCTATCTGGACCTCGGAGTGGGGCGATATGCCGGGATTCAACAATGAGGTCAATCTGCCAGCGGGCAGAGCTGAATCCTCCACAGGGACGCCCAGTTCTTTGACTCAAGTGGAGAGATTATCGTTTATCAAACCCTCCTCTGTTCTCTCAAAGCTACTGTCGCTCAATGGGCTTTTGTTGTCAGAGATGCAAATGTTTTTGGTGGGGTGACGTGTCGTTGGAATATTGTTGCCTGGATCTCATTCATCCAGATGGCATGCATGCAACTCTGGGACTGTTATGAAGTCATGTTTGAAAACAAAATTGCTGACTACTGTATACACTCTCTAGATGGCAGCAGGCGCTTTGTTCATATCCACCTTTTCAGAAAAATCAGACTTTTTTTAGCATTTTGTTTGTCGTATAATTTTGTCTTTGATCATGGTTTATTTGAGTGGTTGTCTTATTCTTTTGTTGGCTGTTGGTGGTCAGTGAAGGCTAATAGGCCTCCCCTGTGTAAAGAATCAGATAATCAGATTATTAAACCATAAATCACAGCGCACGGTTGGGGATCAAAAAGTTCACAGTGAACCTCAATGAGCACTGGAGTTCACTCGTATTCAGTGGTTCCCTTTTTATACTTTTCCTTTGTTTCATACCCTCTACAGTGACATTACAATAGGATGATACAACCATCATTAGTCTTCCAAGACATGCAGAGAAGCGAAGAAAAAGAATAGAAAAAAGTGGTTTCAAATAGAGTTGGGAATCAAGAACTGGTTGTAGCTCTTATGCAGCAGGTTACATGCAGTTTACAGGCAATACGAATGAATGAACAATAATAATAAACTAATATATTTCTTAAATATTAGCTTTATTTTAAAAGCTTACCAGAATGCTATACTCAATCTTTCATTGTATATTGCACTTGTTTAACATATTTTCTTACTTTATGTATTTACTTTATTACTTATTATGTACTTTATATCTTTATTTACTTAGTCGCTTGCTTAATATGTAAATCAGAGCCACCTTGGGCATTTTCTTGCTCATTTTAATGTTCTTAATGAACATGAATCAATAAGCTTTCTAGAATGGAATATATGCAAATCATTATCTGGAAAGCCTCCTATTGGAAGTAAATGAAATAAAAAAAGTTATCCTAATGTTTCATTTCATTCTTCCTCAGATTACTAGAAGAATTACAAAATCCAAATAGTTAATTGGAAGTAGAATGCTTAAAGTACCTAGTTGCCTAAAGTACCTAGTTGTGTATGAAAGAAAGGAGCAGTCAAAAATAAGTGTGTAAATGCAAGAAAGGTGTCGAGGGAAAAGGGAAAACTACCTTGTCAGCAGGTCTGGAAAGAAAATCTCAGGCAGGCAGTGTAAAGGTCTAGATTTCCACATGATATAAGAGCCTGGCACATACTACAGAGAATACTGCACTGGATGGAGTTGAATTTAAGAAGAAATGTAGTCCTTTTCCCAGAATCCCCTGAGCTCATGGTTATGTAATCATGAAATGAATGTGGATTTGGAAAGAAAGGGGATTTGTGCCTTGGAATGCATTACTGCCCAATATCCGCATTGCACCCTTTTATTTGTTATCTGTACAGTTTTTGTTGGATTTTTGTCAAGCAAGGCTACTTTCATTAACTTATTTACTGTTTTGAAGATCTTTTGCTAAATTAACAATTGCAGTTCTGTTACTTTTCGAATATATGGGAGGATTCTGTTGTGTGCTTTTTCTTGATCATTTTTGGAGCACTGATGTCCCGTGCCAACACTGACACAAATGTTCATAGAAGTCAATGATATATATATTTTTTTTTTCGAAAGCTGATCTTAGGCCCTAGAATTTGGCATGCCATTTTTGTGGTTTAAATCCAGATTCCTCTGCGTAAACGGATGGTTCAAAAGTTCATAGCAAGCAGAGTTGGAAGTGTACAAAGCTTTGGTTTGTGTGGTGACTTGGTGACCACCATGCAAAAGTAAATCCTTCAGTAACAAGAGCTCTGTAAATCAACACTCGTGCAACGTGTCACCCTTTCGTGACCGCACTTCCTCCAAGAACAATAAAAGGCTCATGGCCTATGGGATGAAATGGGAATTCCTTTTCCAACCTCTTCCACCTCTCCGTTAATGTGTTATGTAATACTACAAGTGGCTTTAGAGGTGAACTGCTTAGTAATTTATCACCCCTTTTTCTTTTTCAAAGCAATTTTCCCCTATAATTAATCAATTTCAAGCAAATTAGGACATACATTTAGCCTGTGATGTCCCAAAATCTCCATAAATTCCAAGTGGCATGTACAATTTCAATAATTTCTCAATGTAATATATTCCATCAGATGACAGTTAAACTTAAATTCTAAAATAAAAGGGAATCCTTATGTCAGCTTTGTAAAATTAAAAATTATTGATTCTTTTCTCTTCTGTTATAGGTCAGTTGTCAGATGTTGAAGGAAGGACACTGTACTTCAAGGATAAAAATGGCTGTGTCCTAGATTTTTGGAAGAGTTTTCATCCTGACCACTAACACTATCCTGGATCTGAAAGAGTGACTCATCTCTTGGTGAGAAAAGAGGATTTTAATTTTCTGTGGACAGTAATTGAGAAGTCATCATGCCTATTTTGAAGCAGCTTGTGTCCTCGTCCTCCCAGTCAAAGCGGCGCTCTCGTGCTGACTTGACTGCAGAAATGATCAGTGCACCTCTGGGAGACTTCCGTCACACGATGCATGTGGGCCGAGGAGGCGATGCTTTCGGGGACACCTCCTTTCTTAGCAGCCGCTCAGGGGAGCCACCAAGGGAGCCGGAGGTACAGCAGAGCTCACCTAAACAGAGCCTCCTTTCCCGTACCTTCCGAAGCAGCAAGCGCTCCCAGTCGGTCAATCGCGACAAGCCTGACAAATCCAAACTAGCGCCCCCTGGAGGCTCTCCAAGTTATGTAAAAAATGCAATCTCGCTGCCATATTTGAATGATGACTACGCAGGACGGGGTACAGAAATCCACCTTCCCAAAAGCGTGTCCTCGAGTCCTTTAAAAAACGCTCCAGAAGTTGATGGAAAGCCGCTTAACGGAGCCGCAGCGCCCGCTGTATCGGACCTGGAGCTGGACGAGAGGAATTTCGGTGAGCTGACCGACTTGCGTCCATCAGTTCCTTACACCGGAGGCATGAAACATGCAGAGTCCATCATGTCCTTCCACATTGATCTGGGTCCCTCCATGCTGGGCGACATCCTGAGTGTGATGGACAAGAAGGGCTTAGATGATGACGATCTGGGATTCGAAGAGGGGAAGAGCAGCTCGCCGCCCCAGAGTCCTCCCAATGAAGTGGAGGAAGAGGACCCCCTTCCTCCGATCCGGCCTCCACGCCAAAGGCCAGGCACCAACCCTTACACTCCAGAGCTCCAAACCAGGAACCATCAACACTTGGACAGCTGTTCCCTCTCAAGTTCAGGGTCCACCGTGCTGGATGAAAAACCCCACAATCAGATTTATGAGGGAAATATGGACAACATCAAGTACAGCTCACCTCGATTCCAAGACGACAGAGACTTCTCCTACATGGATGAGGACGATGACGACGAGGAGATTAAGCTGTAAAATGAGCCGTAATTTGCCATAACAGTCTTTGCAAAGACTAAAAGAAGAGGAGGAGGTGGGTTGTGGTCGATTGGTGAATGCAAAGCCTGTACGTGGAGGACTGATTTGATAATGGAGATGAAAGGGAAAACCTACGTTTTAGCCCTTGCTAAATACTTTTTCACTACAATTCCTAGTTCAGGTATACAAACCTTCTATTACTTGTGACTTTTACCAGAGCCGCCACAGCTGTGAGAGGAATGCGCTTGTGTGTTTGCATATGCCAAGGCGAGGAAATTCCGTTTCAAATGGTAATTACGGTCTCGTGAGTATCGTTAATGAATTCCAGTGTTGACCACTGGGAACGCTGATAACTGGAGGTTTGTGTGGAACCAAACCTCATATTCTCCCATGATCGACACAGTGCTCGGATGCAGCTCGCTTATGCCTTTGGACTTCCAAATCATTGCCAACAGTCTTAAATTTCACAATCTTTGATTCCATCTTTAAGTTATATCCTAAATTTTGTACACAAATCTGTATTGATGTAAATTGATTTGAATGCCATAAACGTGTTTGGAGGTTCAACACAACGCTTTATCTCTGGCATATGTTACTTTTTTTTTTCTGTTGAGAGTTGTTTATGTAGTGGATCTGGACTTTGTCATGTGGTCCGTGTGTGTTTAAGAGGATTTTCTGTCGGGTCACATGAAATTCTCAATCTTGGAAACTTTAGATTGATGGGATACAGAACCCGTTAGCAGTGGTGACGCTGTTTGGAGGCAGTCGGATCAGTGTGAGTGGAACCAATGACGAAGTCAATTTTTTGTGTGTGTGAATGAGGATTGATGTCAAGAGGGCTGAGAAGTGTGTTATTTGATTATCATTGTATAGGCTCAGAGATGAAGGGGTAGCTCTCTTATTCAGGGTCTAGTGTAGTGCCTCGATCTTCAAACCATGCTCATCAGCAGAAGTGGCTATAGAGGGGTTTTCATCCCTCAATGGCTCTTGTAGTTCTTTGTATTTAGGTTTTGAATAGAGATAAGACTTATCACCCACCCGTGATAAGACTGTAACTTGTATAGCCACTCTTCAAGTTAGTGCCATACCCTTTGTGGTGGGTAAACATAGACAGAAATGTACTTTATTCAAATTCTTTAACCTCAAAATGAGCAAACTTGATCCTCCATGCAATATTATCTTACAGAGATTGTTGATGCGGTTGAAACAGATCTGACTCATTCCAAAGCTTTCACTTGATTTTCCATAAAAGAGAAGTGTGTAATTTCCTTGCCACTAGCAGGACCAAAATGGAATTCATTAATAGTAATAAAAAAAAAAATAAATAAAAAAAAAACGGCAGTATTCAGTTTATGGTCATTTGGAATATTTAAATGGATTCCATAACTTTGGCTCAGCCAATCATGTAAGTTTGGGGGCGGGGCTACTGATTTGTTTGATTGAAGTTTCAAACATCTGCATCTACCATTAATCATTTTTGAAATTCTGTTTAGTGCTGCAGAAATTACACACTTCACATTTAGGTCTCTATTATAAGACTTTCACAAACCAGCAAGAAAAATGTTTTAAAACAACAGATAGCACATTTGCCATAAAACTGACGAGATATTTAACACTATGGGCTCACCACAGAAAGCATCAACTAATTGCTGATGATTAACATCCTGGTATCTCAGCAAGTATTAACTGTTTATCGTGCACTTTGGATCACAGTTATGTTCTGGGGAGATAATTTAAGTGTTCCACTCTTGATATATGTACATAATGTTTAGTTATTCATTTCATGTATATTTGAGGTTTTTTTTTTAATTGACGTTATTGTTTAGTCAACAGTGCTGGCCCTGTAATCTGACATTGTAAGCACACTAGGAGCTGAAGAGAACACCATTTTGTAGAATTGGTAATATTTGTAAACAGTTGGTTTTCTGCGATACAGAATTATTATACAGATTTCTCGGTGGCCTTTACCTTCACTTTGTGATCAGACTAACTACATTATTTGCTTACTCATCTGTTTTTCGGTGGTTTGTGAACCAGCATGTCTGTTCAGAGGAACAAGTAAGGTACGATTGATAAAGGTACGATCCTTGGGTGTTTTTCATTGTGTATAGAATGGTTTGGGAAAGGGCTTGATTAAAGGGGTACGAGGGGCTTGTGTGGCCTTATATCTGGTTGAAATGCTGCATTTGTCTTCTAGCACAAAAGGAGGATAATCAAATGTGCCAATTTCTTCTTTTCCTGTTTTGTTGCCCTTTAATTTTTGTTCATACGGGTTAAGGAAGTGGTCTTGGAGATATCACGCTGCACGCAAAGGTTTTGAAGACGACCAGATGTCCGGAACTGGATTTGTGAGACTGAAAATGAGCTGGAATGCTGGACTGTAACAGGTTTTGAGAGCACCAGGGCTCCCTCTACAGTAGTTTTCTTACAGGCCATCAATACTTTAACTAGTGTCTATGCTTAGAGAGACAACAGTATCATCCATATATGATGGCATAGTTACTATATGTCTTTGCTTATTTACTATATGAGCACATCTTCCTACAGATAATTATTGACGAACACTAAAGTATGAACCATCTCTTTAATTTTCAAGTGTTTGCTGTTTATCTTTTTTTTTTCACTTAATGTCTGCATTATTCTGTACTGAAATAATATATAATGCCCTGCCTTACTTTCCCTTGCAAAATAACAGTTCTATTTTTCAATAAATAAGAAAGCTGATAAACTTGACTGAAGGGCCATAATTTGTACTGGTGTTCATGACTGTCAATGCGAATATCATTTAAGAGTGAAACAAAATACCTGAGCAAGTTTGTTCATGTTGTAGCAGATTTGCATGCTTAATAATCATCCTTAGGCTGACACTACTGTATCACAGCTTTCCAGTATGTTGACTCAGGGAAATCTATCACTGCGCACTGTTTGTGCTGGTGAAACAGATTTCACAGATTCAATCCAATAGTTAATTATTAAATTTCAAAAAGTAAATTCTTCTCAATTGGGTACAAGTGTGAAACGTGGACAGAACTTTTCTACCAGGACTAGATGTGTAATTCTTCCTTACTTTAATGAACACATTATCAGTTTTTAGGATTTGCATGAAAATGCATTGGAGGGAGTGGATTCAAGGTGGACATGAGCTATAAGGTGAGCAACTTGACATCAAATATGTTGATAGATTATTTACCTGAAAAATATTTGAATATGGCTGATAATGTGAAATATTATGATAAACTATAATACACTATAATGAATAGGCTTGCACAAAGTATAGCTGAGTTCCTACTGCCATCTTGTGGTACAGCTAAATACAGCTACAATGATAAATGATACAATATAGACTTATAAATGTGTTCAATAATAATATTGTATATGAAATGTTTCTTTAATTTGTTTTGTTTATATATTTTATTATTATTATTTTACATAAAGTTGATATTATACAATATAATGGAACATGTGTGTTTTTACATTTTTATCTTTGTAGCATATTTATTGTTTTTAGAAGAACATTACAATCTAAAATAATGGTTCTTAAAAGCAGAAGTTAAAATAAAAAAAAAATGACAAAAGTACAGAATAAATTTGAACTGGTAAGATATACCAGTCTACAATATATTAGCCTTTGATTTGCCCCATTAAAATAGTCACTAGAGTTACTGCTATCATAGGTTTAAAATTCCAAATAAGGCACATCTTATGTCCAACAACAAACATTTTAGTATGTATTAACGTTTTTGTATTAGGTTTTTCAATGTAATTTTCCCATTTTTTTCCTCATAATTATTATTTCTTATTTTTCCTTCTACATTATTTTCCTTTCTTTTTCATGTTTGTTATAATACCCACCACCAATGCATAAAAAAACTTTTACCAATAAGAACATTTACCAATAAGTATTTAGACACTTTTACATATGACAAAAGGGGGAAACCAAAAAAATACACAATATATTAATAAAAATTAAACATTCACATATTTATATCAAACTTTTATGATGACACCTAATTCACAAGTAATTCAAAAAATATTATTTAAACATCAAATAATAATATTAAATAAGTAAACAAATAAAATAATTAAGAAAGAGGGTTCTATAGAAAAAAGGTAATTCATGTAATATATATTCCTTTATTTTATTGATACTCAGGTGCCCATGTCTTTTAAAAATGTAAAATGTTGCTCCTGATTCCAGTCATCATCTCCAGTGTAGTTTACTTTAGAAACTAAATCTAACTAATCATTTAAAACTGGGGATTCTTGCTTTGGCATTATTAACCCCATTTGTTGTTATTTATAATGCTACCAACATATCAGTTAATGTTTCCAAAATGTTCTAACAGGCTATGATTTTTTTGCCCTCCATTTAAACAGAGTTAAGAGAGAAGGAAGCGGTTGCCGTTTAGAAACAGCATCATGTTCAGATGTTCCGGATCCAGGTTACTTCTTCGACTGGCCACGAGTCTGGCTTTCTCCGTGTCAAAGGCAATGTCAGCCGGTCCCGCGGTCAACACAACCGCCAGGTATTTGCGTGCAACTTCACTCAGATTCCAGTCTTCGCCTTTTTGGAAATTCCAGAATGCAAGAGGATCCCAATCGATCGGCAACCTTTTCTTTTCCAAGTATCTCCTCAAATCTTTATGTAAACTGTCTGGCTGTATAAAGCTCCTCTCTTCAGCCAGGTGTTTCATCTCAGCAATGATCGTTTTCTGAATGCGTGCAGAAGCACCCTTCTCAGAGAGAGCGATGTCTCGGTGTCTCGGATCAAGTGTGGCGCTCAGTGTCAGCCAATCATTTTCTTTGGCTTTACTGAAGTGATGATTCAAATGTTGTGCTAATTCCTTCGCAAACTCATTCCCTCCACGTTGCAAGTCCAGGAGTTTCTTCTTAATGCTCTCCACCTGTGGTATGATGTTTGACAGTGAGTAGTATCGCTCTGCTGGTGATGTGACGTGCTTGAATGCTTCGAGGCATGATGTTGTTTTCATTATGTTTTTAAGCTCATGCTCACTTAACAACAAGTCACATTTAAATTCAAGAAGCACTTCACGTACAGCTTGATGCTGCTCTGAGATTCTTACTAGCATGTTCAGCGTAGAAAGCCATTGATCACCCTTGGACTCCACCAGATTATGTTGTTTGAACCCCATTTTTATTTGTGCTCTCTTGAGTTGACCTTGTGCTTCTGCATGAGAAAAATACTCTGATATTTCATAGCATCTTTGCACCACTTCTTTCCAGTCAGAAGATGCCTCAAGTGTCTCCTTGAAGACCACATCCAGTGTGTTGGCGAAACAGGGAATGAGATCCCATCCTGCCTTTTTGATGTCTTTCTTCATCCCATCTACATTTGTCACCACCACTTTAATCTTGTTTCCAAGTCTCCATGTGTCTGCTATTTTCCGAAGTTGTCCAACAACATGACTGGCTTTATATTCTTCAGGTAAAGATTTGGTTTCCAAAACATAAGCCTGCCGAGTCCATGTGTCATCGATCAGGTGACAGGTAGTTGTCATATAGGTTTTATTTGTTGTGGTATTCCACACTTCAGATGACAATGCAACATTATCTTCCCTTTCTAATCTTTCTTGCACAATACGTTTCATTTGAGAAATCAAACTTTGAAGTTCTGAGAGCATAGCAGGAGATGTTGGTGGACTTTGACTGATAGACTCAAAGAAACGTAAGAAACCCGGCTCCTCAACTATGGTGTGTGGATGCAGATCTGAGATAATCATATCCAGTAAGGGCTTCATCTGATCACCTGCAGAAAACAAAGCACATCAACTAATTTTACTTAAGCATTTTCTATACCTGGATTACGATGGAATGGTGATATTTTTGAAATGGCAGAATTTTGCCTGGTTGGTAACTATATATAATGTGTGTGTGGGCTATACTAGATGTGTGCTATACAACTATATACATATACTAATGTTAACTAATGCATTAATTAATGTTAATGAGCCCTGTTGTAAAGTGTTTTTAGTTGCTTTAGCTCACAACACCATCTTTGCAGGCGATCAAACATTTGTTTGGCCACTAGATGGAGTCAGCTATTCGCTTCAGCGCTGCTGTACCTGAAGCTATGACAAAACAACAACAAAAACGGAACTTGCTGTGCTGTGCACCTCATTTTAGACAATTCCACACATAGGCCTAGCCGACACATGAGGGAGGTGTTTTCATTTAGGTGAATGGGATGGTCTCTCAGGGTATGACACCACACATCTCCTGCTACAAGTGTAGGGTAAATACTGTACGATAATCATACAAGTGTGATGTGTTAATCAATCCGGTGTTGAATCCCCCACCCGCACACCTAATTCTAAACTACTTGCAGATTTAGGGGTTAAAGTAATCTGGCGGGGATCAGAAAGAATTCGGCAAATCTCCGTGATAGAAAAGTAGTTAGACCAATTGCATGCAGGAATGACGTTCAAGAAGGCTGGATCGACAAAGAAATTTCTGGCAATGTAATGCAAATAAACTTACATAAAATGAGGACTGTAGAGAGCACGTCCATATCGAAATGACGTCAAATCGCGGATTTAAGGTCCCCCCAGATTTACATAATGTAGGCTATCATATGATGGAGATTCGAGAGCAATTTAGTTTTTTCCCTTTTATGCCCCTCACTCACCTCTTTTTCCTCCATGATCATAGGGGCGGTCTCTTCGACCCCATCCGGTCCTTCCTGTAAATATAGAGTTAACTTATTTGATGTCCTGTATTGAATAGCTTTTTTTTTTCTTTTTCTTTTTTATCAAACTATACAAATAAATTAGTACTGAAGTATGTGTGTTACAGACAAGTGTTACAACTAATCCCTCTGTCTGTTACAATTAACCATTACCTAATCCTACCCATCTCCACCCCCTGATCCCTAGGCCCACCCCTAATCCTACCCATCTCCACCCCTTAGATTTGGAATGGATCCAACGCCGCCCCCTGCAATGAGGTCCTACTGGCATATGGGGTAAGTAACATTTGTAACAGTACGAAAATGGTAAGTCCTAGAAAAAACTTTTAAAAAGTTGAATCTAACTTAATAATTGTTTTAATATTTGAGCCAAAAGCAAAATATGTTGTGCCCCACTTTCCCCTAATGTAAACTAATGCATTATCGATTACCTAATGTAACCCCGGTTCTCTCTAGAAGAGGGAACGAGTTTTGCTTAAGCTAGCTTTAATATTGAAGCCAAAAATCAGCCAATCAGTGAATCTGGCGTGATGTCACGCCCAATGAGAGGTGCTCTCGCCCTGATGGCATTACAGCCCACCAGAATGGGCAAGGCTAGGTGTATATAAGCGAGGTTCAGAGGCTGCTTCCCTGGTATTCATCGACTGAAGCGAAAGTCGCTCGTGGCGCGAGCGGCCGGTTACGCAATACTCGTTCCCTCTTCTAGAGAGAACCGAGGTTACCTTAGGTAACCTAGCTTGCTACGGGAACTCTTTGTCAATGCCATGCGCGCCAAGCATCCATTACATGAGCCCGTGGGAACCAGAGGAGCCTTTATAAGTGGGGATAATAGGTGTCCAGCAGTAGTGCAGGCCAGCACATGTACATAAGCACTTAGGGGGAACAACAGAGCGGCGGCGCCAATAGTGCAACCCAATAGTGCAGCTCAACCAGGAGAGCTGTATGTGTTTCACACTTATACCGCCAGAAGTTTTGCCTGCAAGGTGGTAACTTCCATATTGTAAAATCTGACAAAGGTGGATGGGGAAGCCCAGCCCGCCGCCACACATTTGTCATGAATGGAAATCCCACTGGACCACGCCCACGATGAGGCCATGCCTCTAGTGGAGTGAGCCCACACACCCAAAGAGCATTGAAGATCTTTCGAAGTGCGTATGCAGCCACAATAGCGTCCACTATCCATCTGGACAAGGCGGTGAGACTTGTTTGGTGAGCGCAATAAAGGCCCACCAAACGAGTCTCAACGCCTCGAAACAGACAACAAACAAATAGCAGATCCGTGCGCAGTGTACAATCTCAATGCTCTGACTGAGCAGAGGAGATTGGCGTTGCATTCGCTATCGGATGCTGCCAGAACCGATAGGGAAATGACCTGCGCTCTGAAGGGAGTACCAATCACTTTAGGGACAAGTGTAGCCTATTTGATATGTGAATCAATCTGGTGTTGAATCCCCCACCCGCACACCTAATCCTAAACTACTCGCTGATTTAGGGGTTGTAGAAATCTGGCGGGGGTCAGAAAGAATTCGGCACATCTCCGCGATAGAAGTAGGCTAGTGATAGAAAAGTAGTTTGACCAATTGCGTGCAGGAATGACGTTCAAGAAGGCTGGATCGACAAAGAAATGTCTTGCAATGTAATGCAAATAAACTTGCATAAAATGAGGACTGTCACTGTAGAGAGCACGTCCATATCGAAATGGCTTCAAATCGCGGATTTAAAGGGCACCTATTATGGAAAATTCACTTTTACATGGTGTTTGAACATAAATTGTGTGTTGGCAGTGTGTGAGCAAAACCACCCTAGAATGATAAAAATCCACCCAGTGGTCATGTGCACTGTCTCAGAACGAGCTGTTCTGAGATTCAGCTCTTTGTGACGTAGAAAGTGAGCAAGGGGTTTGATTGACAGTGTGGTTGTGGCCTAGACCCCGCCCTCGGTGATCTGTACACATCATCCTCCATTGTTTCAACGACAGCCGGTAATGTCTCATGGAAACATAAATGTTCTGTCGTGGACTCGTGGGTTAATCCTGTTGTTGTGGCTTAAAAATTAATCCTCAAGTGTGGATTGTTGTCTACTGTTAGCGATCCAAGGTCACCTCTAGTAAGTGTATTTTATGATTTTTGAGCAAATAGTCATTTCAGTCTGTCAGCCAATTTAACAACAAATTATGCGTCTAAAGTTGTCGTCGTATGATGTCTGTGTATATAATTTAAACATTGTTTGTATAGTGTGTAACCACACGTTTATAAATATATATTTAAAGATATTGTATTAAAAACTGCATATTTGTTGTTGTTCTGTAAGTTAGCCATCTTCTCACATTTGCCACAGAAGCACCTGTATGACAAGCTAAACATGACGCCACAGGTCCCTCGCATAAATTTCGCTTGTACGTAGCAAACTTTATCACAGAATGTGTATGTAGTTTTAAAAAAATGCGGCAGCATTAGTGTTTATGTGTGTCTGTGTGTGTGTTGCACATCCATACTTGCAAAAAGACGCGATTACAACTCTATAAGTACATAAATGTATCAAATATCCATACCGAGAATTTCTGGTCCATTCTCATGTGTTTATTCTGCCGGAGTACTATTTATATATTCCGATTCAAACGTACGCTGAATGACATTCAAAACAGCGCGTCTCTCGCTCTCCCCTTCTGCTTACCGACTGCCATAGTTATCAAGTTACGCCCTCATCCAAAGGCAGGGCGGGGATATGCAGCTCATTTGCATTTAAGGTGGCATACACCCATAACAGCTCATTTTTAATCAGGTCCCAAAATGACATTTTCAAATGGTTATAAATAATAAATTAACTATGGGGTATTTTGAGCTGAAACTTCACAAATACATTCTGGGGACACCTGAGACCAATATTACATCTTGTAAAAAGGGGCATAATAGGTGCCCTTTAAGGTCCCCCCCCAGGTTTACATAATGTAGGCTATCATATGATGGAGATTCAAGAGTAATTTAGTTTTTCCTTTTTATGCCCCTCACTCACCTCTTCCTCCATGATAGGGACGGTCTCTTCGACCTCGTCCGGTCCTTCCTGCAAAATTAAAAAAGTGAATCACCAGTAAAAGGGAACAGCTTTAAATCCCCCCTCTGCAAATCAGCCGATATGTTTAATGTCAAACATTAGGCTGTATCAAAAAGGTAACTTCGCGTCCGCTGCCATGGTCCATAGATATAAACAAACTGCTTCAGTGTGTCGCATATACATCGTCATCATCTTGCTGCTCCCTCCCCGTTCTGTGATTGGTTCCCTATCTCAGGCGAAAATTTGGTTCATGGTGAATAAAATCGTGCTGCGGCAAGGCAGCACGGGGAAACCCAGGCTACCACACCTCCTGCTATCCTTCCTCTCACTATTCCCATTGAGAGATCAGTTGTAGATTCACCAGCACCATAGAAATTGTCTTTAAAAGAGCTCTCTGCATTAAGGAGAATTTGGTAGCAAAAACTTTGTCCGAACAACTTTTATATTTCCTTGCGCACCCATGCCAACAGGAGCATCATCCGCTCTCGTTTGCCTGCATGCTCTTTTCCCCAAGCCGACTGGCCCTGTGTTTGCTTCAGATTTAAATTAATTTATATTTATTATTTATATTATTCTCGATATTATTTTTCAAAAATTAAAAAAGCACCCCAGAAAAAAGGGCACTTTCTCTCCAGGAATTAAAAAGGGAAAGTGCTCAAGCCCTCTTTGAGGTCTATATGTGCACTTGCCTGATGGAGATTCAAGAGCAATAGTTTTTCCCTTTTATGCCCCTCACTCACCTCTTCCTCCATGATTGTATCTTCCTCGACCCTGTCCAGTCCTTCCTGCAAAAATAGAGTTAACTTATTTGATGTCCTGTACTGAATAGTTTTTTTTCTTTCTGTAATTTATTACATGAACTCAAAAACACTCACTCAATGAATGTTCAAACCGCTGCATATTCAACAAGCAATTTGTAGGCCTATTCGTGTAAAAAATGAAAGAAACTTCTCAAAATACCAAGAGCGACTATCAATACCGTCCAGGTATGGAGCCGAAAGAGCAATAACTCTTTCAGATTATGATTTAATGGCTAGCTCTAGTACGTCATCTGCCTCGCCTTATTTGCTCTGAAGTTTCGGTTGCGTTTCTGAGTAGCTAAAGTTAAACTATGTGAAACCTAAGCCTACATCTTTTTAAAAAAAAAATATTCTGCCTCATTTACAAATATGTTGCCTACATTTATTTATTAATAAATAGGCTTACAGTGCATCATCAATAATTGATTCACATACACTGGTGGTCAAAAATATGTTTTCAAAGTCTCTTATGCTCACCAAGACTGAATTTTTTTGATTAAGAACACAGTAAACAATAATATTGTAAAATACTAATTAAGTGTTTTCTATTTTAATGCTGTAAAATGTTGATGGTTTTGCTTCTCAATAAATGATTTGCTTTTCAAGAAAAAATTATTATATTTTTATAAATGTTTAAAACATTTGTGCTGCTTATTTTTGTGGAAATCATGGTAGATTCAAAAGTTTTAATAAGTATCAATCATTGGACATGAATGTTTTTATTTAAAAAGGACACATTAAATGACTTAAAACATTAAACTTTAAACTTAATTCCAAAGTTCGTTATATGGGCTTCTTATTATTTTATTTCATTTTTTGTTCCACAGTCATAAATGTTTACAATGACATAAAGCTGAGTACATGATGACAGAATTGTAATTTTTGTGTAGCTAAATCATCCCTTTAAGATCCATGCTCATTTTGGACGAGGGAAGATGAGTTACTATGTTACTGTAGAAAAGTGTGTTATCTGCATATTAAATCAAATGCATCTGTTAGAATCAACTAGCCTAAAGTAGCCAATTTTCCTCAAGTCAAAAGTCTCTTTACGGTTTAAACTTGAATGTTGAGCTGAATTATTCAGCCTGAATAGAACATTAGTCTAATAATGAACAAAACAATTAATTAAGTTTTATTAATAGTCTAATTAGTAAGCGCAAGATAGCCAAACGGCACAATATTCCGTAAGTAATTGGTATTTTCTGGCACCTTCTAAACAACGGCTCTGTCATCCGTATCCATGTACACGATCCTACTTGATTCTTTTAACAACGCAGAAAGAAAAGAAAACACTTAAAGTTGGGTCTATTTCTGTCCATTTCATCAATGGAGCTCAAAGAATCCCTTAGGGATGCTCACTTCAGTTTTGCTTTCATTTCTGTCCAGACGAGCAATGTAATTTGTTTAAGTTCGTTTGAATATGCAGTTTTGTAACCTGCCACCTGACTATAAGAAAATCATTGTGGTAAACCAAATGATGTTGATCTCTGCTCTGATCATGAAGGCTTCACGATATTAATTTGAGAGTTGCCCCTTTAAGACATTAGGCCTAATGGCATTACCTGTAACTTATTAATTGATTCGATCAAAACAATCCTATAGAGAATGTCACAACTATCCACTTGCACATGTAACACCCGGGTCATTCCTGGTATGCAGTGACATTTTGGCTTCATAAGTGTTGGGGGAAAAAAAGGACATGATTTTCATGTTTTTAGCATTCTACCAAAATATTGACAACTATAAGGTATACATATTGGTCAAGCTCAGGGACTCTGAAAATAATAATTATGGGTAGATTGTTCAGACATGCCCATGAAAATATTCCACCCTGTTAGGGACATATACATAGTTATCACAACATGTTAATAATGTAAATGTTAAACAATAATGAGCTTTTCTTGGATAGTATATGTCCCTTATGCCATCTTAGATTTTTTTTTCTTCTTGAAACAAGCAAAACAATTTTTGATGAAGAGAATATGTCTTGATTATTAAAAATAATCTTTTTGTGGTACTTTTTGTGCCCATATTTGCAAATAGGATGGTAAATAACAATAAAAAATGGCTCAAAAACATATATATATATTCTGTTAGTGCTCCTTACCTCACAAAACAAGACAAAAGTATGCCAAACATTTAATGTTGCTGTCAAATTATTATTTAAAATGACTTTTCTAACAGGGTGGAAAGGAGCATAACAGGGTGGAACCAAGTATAACAGGGTGGAACACCAGTGTTCAGTGGATGAGCCTTTTGTCATTGTCCTGCATGGTTTACCATTGATAATGTGTGGAACTGCACCTATAACATATTGTTTCAAAACAATAAAAAAAATCCAAATTTTCTTTGGGGGAGGGACACAAAAAAATATCTGTGGTTCCTCATCATAATCAATCATGGGGGCAAAACAAAACAATTCTCTCTTCAGATGGCTAGAGAAATATTTACAAATTAGAGAAGACAGACATAATAAATTACATTTTTATTTATTTATATTTGATTAAAATATAGATGATATTATTCATTTGAATTAACTAGATTAACAAACAAATACAAAATTCATCACAAGAAGGAACAGTAATGGACAGTGATGCCCTTTGTGGTGTTTTGGCTACATCAACTTACTAGATTAACAAACAAAATAAAAAGAAAAGCAAAAAGGCAGGGGAAAAGAACTTTAAACTCTAATGGAAAGAACCATCTCAGCATAGGATACTATATAAATAACCTTTATATAACAATCTTTGATATATATATATATATATATATATATATATATATATATATATATATATATATATATATAATATATATATTATATATATATATATATATATATATATACTGTATATATATTAGGATATAGATATAGATATATATATAGATATAGATATGTATACATACATAGAACTTGCTATATGCATTAAATACTAATTATTCTATTAGAATTTCCACCCTGTTAGGTTTATAGACCTAACAGGGTGGAAAATTCTGAGCAAAGTTAGCCATAGCTCTTTTAGTGATCAACATTTAGCTAGCTAAACTACTACAAATTAACAGAACTTTTATAACTATGTCAGATTTGTTTTTACATTTTTTTGATAGGACAGACATTCTTCATAACAAAGCCGAACAGGGTGAAACTTTAAGGGTGGGACAAGCAGGATAACATCTCAAAAACTAAAAAAAAAAAAAAAATAGGAGTAAGAGTTAAAGCTTACCTCAGTTTGTACAGTTGAATTCCAGCAAGTAAAAGAAATTAAATCACTTCTTGAAAATGTACTCAATGAAATTGCAATCGGATTTGGAAGGCAAAAAAGTACATACTAACAGGGTGGAAGATGACTTCAGGGACGCAGTAATTTAAGAAAATTTTAAGAAAAAGACCTATATTTTCACATGATTTATGTATGATTAGATGCAATTTAGCCTAGTCTATAACATAATTTAAAAATATTTTGAAGTTTTTGTCATTTCTTGGTTTATATTTTTTGAAGAAGCTGATTACTGTGCACTGAGGACATGAAATAATTGAATGCATACATCAATAAAAATGGTGTAAAATACAAAATAGCATTTTTAATGTCTAGTATATCTGTTTAAATTGTAAAGAATACTTAAATCTACAATTTAAATATGTGACTCATTTTAGAGAAAATATGAGTATATAAATCATTGGGACAGGAAAAGTCACCGCATACCAGGAATGACCCACCCACATGGTTTTTCTGTAAAGCTGCTTTGAAACGATATGTGAAAAGCGCCATTCAAATAAAATACACAAGGACGTTTTTCTCTCACATCATTGACCTAAATGACCAGCAGGGGGCACCAACGATATATATGATATATGTCCGGAAGCCTCTTGAACAGTATCCTGAATGTTTGAAAAAGCTAATTTTTTCAACATTTCTTTTTTTTGTTTTCTGCTGTCAGTGTTAAGACATGTGCGCCACCCCTCGACATGTTCCGGCCCTGACCCCTGCTGGGTGGAGTGGGGTGAATTTCCTCCCTGTGGAGACCCACGAAGGTTCTTTGAAACAACAGTTTCGGGATGCCAATGTTGCCTGGAAATTCTATATTAAACAGAGCTGTTTGTGATGTTTCCACCCGCATAAGCTGGAAATGAAAACGGAGACAGCAACACTTAATCAACTTCATTACTCTTTCCTCGCTACTCTTCCTGTTTATGAGTTCATGGCTAGAGTCTGGGGAGACTGAAGACATGCTAGTTCACCCACAACCTTCAGAAAGTGAAGAAATCCCCTAAAATGTGTGAACAGTAGTCTGTGGCACTTTTAGCAATGCTCAATTTGTGCTCCATGCAAAATCGTGCGCATTTATTGGGGGTAATTGAAACTCATGTGGCTTTAAAATCCCGTGCAGCGCCATTTTATCATTAAGTTAATTGCAGATCAGTAGTGAGCTTGAAACACTATCCTGCGGTGCTATATGCTGGGAAACATCCCTCTCTTATTTATTTTCTCAACAATATTTTCTTTCCTTTTTGTACTCTTGATGTCCTGCATGGGCTGATACATTTATAAATTTGGCAGATGTTTTCATCAAAGCAGCGTATGTTGCATTCAGGGTATTTAATACTTTCATGCAATCAAAACCATGGCGGTGGCATTGTTAGCGTCGTGCTCTATTGTTTGAACACTGGAACACGTCAGAGGCGTTGGTCAAAATATGAGAAAGGCTTTTGACACTTGACATGTTCTGACACACCTTTAGGAATCTTTTTCATATATCAATACCTAATGATATTTTGTATATATAAATCACTAATATAAGTCAGAAGTGTCTTTATTTTTTTATTTTAATATATTTTTATTGTTTAGATTTGTTGAGTGTGTTTTGCTTTGCCAATGCTTTGGCTTTTGGTTTGCTTTGAGATTTATTTTATTTGTTGTTTGTTTGTTTGTTTTTGCAAATTTAATTTAGTTTGTTTTGCTTTGTTTTTCTTTGGTTTGGTTTGTTTTCCTTAATTTTTAATTTTTTTTTAATTTTTTTAATTTATTTTTATTTTAGGTACACACTTCAATTCCCCCCCCCCCCCCCCCCAAATCTCTTATCTTATGTAGCTTCATGCTGGAGTGTCTCGGCCCATCATTTTTGTATTTAATTTTATTATTTTATTGTTCAAGTTACTTTGATTTGATTCATTTCAGGTAGGCCTATACACTTCATGAGCAAATTCCCTTTTTAGCAGCCAAATTGTGCCTCTCCTGACCCATGTGACCTGTTTTATCTATTTACTCTGCTACTACAGGGCTTGAATTACCCAGCTGGAGCTCTGGAAGGCCTGATTCCTGACCCTTAACATTTGCACTGTAAACCTGACCGACAGCAGGAGGAGA